ACCTCACTATTTTAAACAATGAATATCTTGATTAAATCTGACAGTGTCTAGATCGAGCAGTTTAACTTAAACAGTCTTTCGAATTTCAGCTAGGTGATCTTACCTTACTATTTTAAACAATGAATATCTTGATTAAATCTGACAGATCGAGCAGTTTAACTTAAACAGTTTTTTGAATTTTAGCTAGGAGATCTTACCTCACTATTTTAAACAATAAACATCTTGATTAAATCTGACAGTGTCTAGATCGAGCAGTTTAACTTAAACAGTTTTTCGAATTTTAACTAGGTGATCTTACCTTACTATTTTAAACAATGAATATCTTGATTAAATCTGACAGTGATTAGATCGAGCAGTTTAACTTAAACAGTTTTTCGAATTTTAGCTAGGTGATCTTACCTCACTATTTTAAACAATGAATATCTTTATTAAATCTGACAGTGTCTAGATCGAGCAGTTTAACTTAAACAGTCTTTCGAATTTTAGCTAGGTGATCTTACCTCACTATTTTAAACAATGAATATCTTGATTAAATCGGACAGTTTTTAGATAGAGCAATTTAGCTTCAACAGTCTTTCGAATTTTAGATAGGTGATCTTACTTCACTTTTCTTATGAAAGAAAAAAATATCATTTAAGAATTAATCTGTTACAAATTAATCATTAATCAGTTGTGAGAGCGGCGATGGCTCAAGGGAGATAGAACGTTTGCCTTCCAATGACGTGAACCGGATTCAAATCCCAGTCATAGCTGGTTGATACGGATTCCGCATCCGGCTTGCACCGACCACAGTGCAAACGTGAAATTTCCTCAGTGGCAGACGGATCATGGGTTAGAGTCCCCTTACCGCCAGGCTGACCGTGGGAAGTTCTCGTGGTCTTCCTCTTCCTACAATGCATATACAGGTTAGTTCCCTTGTCATCTGAATTGGGGTCAAAATTTCAAGGCTACGTTGTTGAACATTAGTAGTCGTAAACCCAAAAATTGGTTCGGCTGTTCAGTCACTGTTATAAAATAAAATAAAATCAGTCGTCGGGTATCATTCAAAAAGTAAAATATTTATCTTGTTTTATTTTTCCCCATAAAATACATATTTACAAAGAAATTATACTTTAACTTTAAAATATTCACAATTTCATATCAACGTCACGGAGAAAAGTTTTATTTAATTTTATTCTGGTCCTTGAATACGCAAGAAAGTTATTGAACCGATATGCAAAGCTTCGTAATAGCACAAGTAAATTCTTAAATAAAGTAACATTTAATTACAGATATTTTTATCTCACTCTTTATTAGAAAATGCAAAAATAGACGGAAAAATATTACATAGAATAAAACGCTTAACGACTTTTGATTTCTTTTTTTGGTTCATTTTAATTCAAATCTATGTTCAACCCGATAGCGGAATTAACGGAGTGAAACTGAAACACTATCTTCGTAAATCTAAATTTGTCTGCGACCTCAAAACAGTGACGGCGAAGATTGGAGTGAAAAATTCAGTTTAATCTAACATACATGCAGTAACATTTGTATAAAAACTTTGTTTAAATTTACGTTGAATTTAATACAATGATACAGAAAAAAAATGGAATAAATCCCTAAGTAGATAAGCCTGTAATCAAGTTACAGAAAAAAAATCCTTGCGGCGTTCTTTCAACTTTTTAACAAGAACAATAATTTATTAGAAACAAATATAGAGATGTTTTTAAAAAGAATCTCGGTAACCCCCCCCCCCCAATTTGTTTGTTTGCTTTAAAAAAAGAAGAAAAAAAAATATTGAACGAAAACTTAGATAAAAAAGTGTGAGCAAATTCCGGCGGTTGGAAGCGAGCAGGAGGTGAAATAAAAAAAAGGTTGGAAAAGGAAATTACTGAGAAACATGGCAGTGCATTTTATTGTTTTGTTTTTTGTAACACATTACTCACGCATATGGCTTATAGTGTTTTCCATTATTTTGTACTTTCTTTTGCAGTTTCTTTTTCAGTAGTGTACTATTTAGTTGCTAGTTAGATTATTTCTGATTTCTTGTTATTGATGCTAGTTGGATTTATGTACAAAATTGCAAATGAATCAAGAATTTAGTACCCTCTTGAATGGTGGAGCATTCACGTTCTGCAGTTTCTGTAAAAATCCCGCTAAATCAACTAAATGTTGTCCTGCATATGTGTGTACGGAGACAAATTTGATGATTTAATCGAGCAGACGCAGACCAGGAAAGGGTGGTTAAGTGACCGTCTTGTTGAAAATTCGGTCCTGGGAGCTCTGTCATGAGTGACAGCACATGTGGCTTAAGAATGTCACAAACGAACCACTGGGCTGTCACGGCACTATTATTCAATATTAGAAGCAGAGCCGCGATTGCTCAGTGGATAGAGCGTTCGCCTTTCAACGAGGTGAACAGGGTTTGACTCCCGGCAATGGCTGGTTGATACGAATTCCGCATCCAACTTACACCGACCACAGTGCTGACGTGAAATATCCTAAGTGGTAGACAGATCCTGGGTTAGAATCCACTTGCCGTCAGGCTAACCGTGGGAGATTCTCGTGGTCTTCCTCTCCATGTAACGCAAAAGCGAGTTAGTTCCATCAGAAAGTCCTCCACGGAAGCAAATTTCTCCCAATACTTGATCAGGGAGTTCCCTTGTCTTCTGGATTGGGTTCAAAATTTCAAGTCTACGTAATTGAACATTAGTAGTCGTAAACCCAAAAATTGGGTCGGCTGTTCAATGACGGTTATAATATAAAATAAAATATTAGGAGTAACGTGCCAACTGTACGTTGGCGAAATCTTTTAGTCACATTTGTAACCACTCATGGTAGGGGTCCTATAATCAAATTTTCAAAAAGAAAATGCTCGGCCGCACTCAGTATGGATGCCAAAGGAGTGCTTTTTCTGTCCTGCTCGATCACCAGATTTGTCTCAGAATAGCATCATAAGAGAAGCATTTGTCTAATTTGAAGCATATTTGAGTCAGCAAGTAGAACAGTTTTCAAGTTTAGTTGATTTAGCGTTGTCTTTACAGCAACTGTGGAACAAGATACAGCAGGATATATTACGGAACTTGTACTATCGCATCGCATCCTGTATTCACACTAGAAGTAGTTCAAGATGATACTAAACTCTTCGTTCATTTGTATTTTCTTCAGCAATACATGAGGACTAGAAATATAAAACGATATAAGTACCAAAAAAAAAAATCTTTTTTTTTTACGGAGAACGTGTCATCAACGCTCAGTAAAAAGAGTATTTTGTTGACGTATGACAAAAATATCACGATAAATTTGCCATAAAATTAACAATAACGTTAAAAAAGTATTTAAAAAGTAAAGGTGAGAAAGTTAGGTTAATATGTAAAGTGTTGTTGGCTACGAACCCAAGGGAGTAGAACAAGAAGTGTTTTACATTTTTCGGATTATTTTTTCTGTCGTTTTCCATTCCTCAAATGATCCTTTTGCTTTGATTTTTAATTACTTACTTATATCAACGTTCTACTTGCGTATGTAGAATTTTGTTCAAACTGTAGAGAAAACATAGAAAAAATTACAGAATAATGAAAAAAGGAGAAGGAAAAAAATAATTAAATGTAAAAATTTAAAAAAATTAATAAAAATCCAAAAAACAATATTAATAAAAATTTTCAAAAAAAAAGATATAATCTTTTCATCAGCTCACACGATTATATACGCAAAAATACTATTCAATATTAAACAATTTAAAAAGAAATGTATTGTCATTAACAGTGTTTGCCATTAAAATAAAAATAATTCAAAATTTTTTAAAGCACAAAAACAAAATTTCTTGACCTAATTTTTTTTCTCATTTTGCTAAATGTCAAATTTTCTTATATATAAAAAAATCAAGAGTATGGTTTTTGTTGTGATCGGTAACCTTAGTTACATCACTGTAAAAAATCGTGAACTACTTTGGCGAAAAACCTCTCTTTTTTTTTACTGACCAAAACAAAAAGGCGCATTTTTGATTTTACTTTCTGAAAATGTAACATACAACACTGTGTGAAATTTATTTTTGTGCTATAAAAAAAACTTATTATTTTGGTTATGAAATATTTTTTTAATGAGAAAGAAAAATCCTATTGATTTCTTCTCTTGTTTAAAAATATATACCTAACAATATGCGATAAAAATTGTCATTTACCTCGAAAAAATTATTGAAATTCGCACGAAAGCCAAATAATTATCGATGCGATGGGACAGGGATTTTAAACTGTAATTGTGCAGAACTGGATTTCAATCCAGGGCTCGAAAAAAAACTTAGGGGCCGCCCGTCCTCGGCGGTCAAAAACTCCCTGCGGACAACAAATTTCTCAAACCCGACATCCGCGCGGACGGCCATTTTCTNTTCGCACGAAAGCCAAATAATTATCGATGCGATGGGACAGTGATTTTAAACTGTAATTGTGCAGAACTGGATTTCAATCCCTAGTTGTGGTTTGAAACTCACTATACTGCAGGTACCAGCTTGTGCGGGAAGTAAATGCGGCTGGTGCGAAAGGCATTGTTGCCGTTGATTGCAAAATTCTGAGCCTTGACCACCATGGCTTACAACGTCTAGCTACAGATTACTTTTTTATTGTTTTAAATATCAAATATAGGAGAAAATAAAGTGTTTTACTTTAAATAATATTTTTTAATAAATGTCCTCATTTGTATTGTTATGGTTGGGTAATCAATCGAAAAATTATAAATTTAGGTAAAGAGCATCATTTCTATTTATTGTCTCATTTATATTCAAGCTTATGTTATTCTTCGTTTGTATTGTTATTGTTGGGTAATCAATCGAAAAACGATGTATTTAGGAAAAGAACATCATCTCTATTTATTATCTCATTTATATTCAAACTTATGTTATTCTTCATTTGTGTAGTTATTGTTGGGCAATCAACCAAAAAATTATGTATTTAGGAAAAGAGCATCATTTCTATTTATTGTCTCATTTATATTCAAACTAATGTTAATGGCATGTTTTATTCTTGTTTCAGGAAGAAGTAAGAGATTTTTACTATAGAAGCATGTAAAGTAAGGTTTTTTTGCTTTTTAAAATGACTAATTTTAATTTCTTAATTGCAGGACCCCATTTTTTAACAGGTAATTATTTTACACATTTATTTCAATGTGTCCCGTCCAACAAATGTTTTAATTATTCAATAAAATTTGGCAGAATAAAATGTTAACATTAATAAAAAGTCGAAAAGTAAGCTCCGTTTAAGATCAGTCAAGCTTTTGTAAAAGCATGTAATTTTCTATCTATAAGTAATAGCCAATTCAACAGGCAGTTTTTCTTGAATAATGAAGAAACAATAAGTGAAAAAATTTTTGTCTCATCTTAAATGACACCTGGAATAGAATATTGAGATCCTTTTATGTATTTTGCAAGACGCAAACTTTATTATAAATAATCAGTAACAAAATCAAAAGGTGTTGTAAACTAAATCTGGCTCAAAGCAAAGAAAATATTAAGAAAAAAGGTACCTTAGGTTAAAATATCTATTCTATCTGAAGAGAAAAAAAATCCACACAATTTGAAATTTCTCAGAAAAAATGGTTAAATGGCAATTTACTTAATTGTTATTTGGCCATATCCAAACAAAACAGTCAAATAACCGTAAATAAGATGGTATTCAAACTGTTAAATGTAAGAAAGACGCAATTTTAATTGCTTTCATTTAACCGGCATTTAATGCAATCTAATGAAGCCACTTAATTCTTTGACACTTATTATAGCTCTGTCAATCTCATGACAGACAGAATAGGATGCGAGTCCCACAGTTGACAGCACAATATTTCTCCCATTTCCTTTAACACATGAAGAGTTTCCCAATGTCCTACACGCGATTTTCCCTAATGTCGACTCCCGGGCACCTACACTCGCCGCTGTTTTATTTGACAACTGTTTCATCGCCTTATCTAGTAACCCTACTGAGAGGCAACCCTATGCTCGCCTCAATACAGCACTCACAAAATTCGTAAACGAATCTTCGCGCTCATGGATATTTTTAAAAGTTGCTTGTTTAAAAGTTGCTTGTTGAATTAAGTGAAGATTTTATCCTCGTTTAAGACTAGAAAAATTCAAATAACGAAAAAAAATACTTCGTCCTTCTATAAAGAAAGAGGAAGAAAAATTTACATACTCACAATTATTTCAGTTAATTACATAAATATTTCGGTTAAAATAAATTTTCAAATCGAAACTATTCCTGTAAATTAAATAAAAAATTTGGAGCAATAAAATATTTATATCTTCAGAATAATCAATTTCTTTTGGATACCATAATTAATAAACTAAGTTTAAAAAAAATAATCCCCTATGTAAATCAGCACATTATTAAGTGTTCATATTTTTAAAGAAAAAAGGATCACAAATTTTTTTACGCAGTTTGAAAAATAATGTTCCTTCATTTTTACCAGGTTTTTTCAATTATTTCTATTTTAGAAAAAATATGTATTCTTCAAAATGCTTACAATATCTTGAAGAAAAAAAATGCATATATTTTATGCTGAGCAACTTTTGATGGACAATATTTTCTCCATAAGAGAGTCTTTAGAAAAATTTGAAAATATTTTCATTAAATTTGTTCAAATATTTGCTGTAAAATGCGTGCTATTATGAAGACAAAGGGAAAAAATATTTTTAGTAAAGCCATGACATAAAGAAACAAATCTATCACTACTATTTTCGTATAGTTAATTTATTTTTTATAACATCAAATCATATTTATTAAAACTTAAAATTGTAGCTGCTTAACTTTCTTTAATGTTTCTTAAATTTTCTCAGTTAAAATTCCGATATTTTCTATTATTCTTGCTTCTATAACTATTATTTGTGTATATCTGAAATTACTCACCTGCTTTTTAATTGTTTCCTAATTAATTTTATGATATAATTTGCTAATATATATTTATCCTTTCATTCTATGCTTCATTAATTTCATAACTTATCCATCTTGTAACTTTTTATTCATATTTTATTACAACTTGAGCTTAGATTTTGTAACTCAACAATTGGTCTATATATTTTATAATTTTCTTATTCAATTTTTGGGCTTCTAAATAAGATATGGAAAAAATGCTATGAAAATTATTACATTTATTGTCACTCTAAATTGAGGCCTTTTTTTCCTCCTAAGTACGAAAACACATCTACTAACGTAACGTAATTTAACACGATTCATCTATTTTAATAAGAACGATTCAGAGAAAAGCAGGATAAGAAAAAGTGAGATGAGTATTTTAATTTATATTCTGCTTCAGAAATGAGACAAATGAGACAAATTGAGATTAAAATTTCAAAAGAATTTTTTAGTTGCTCGAATCATATAATAGTCTCCTTTGTTACAACTTGTTTTTTAATTTTTTTATGCAATAGCTTTTATTTTTTGTAATTTTCTTTAAAAGCTCAAACATTTATTCTTAGATTGTCATGCATTCTGTGTGTCTGAAAACTGTATGACCTATTTTATTTTATCTGTCCCTTGCAGTATGGTAATAATTGTTTCTTATTTGGTAATAAAAATCTTACTTTTGCTGAGATCGCAAGAGTTTTGTTTTATTATCATAACATCGATTAATTGTTTTAGAGAAAAGTGTAACTCCTCAGCCTTTCAACCAAATTGCTTTAAAACTACTTTCCTTATTTAAAGTAAATTGTTAAATTCAAAAATTGTTAAGATTCTCTTATTTGACTCAATATCTTGTCTATAATGAATCAGAAATAAATAAATGGATTGTCCTTAAATTGTTACACAGTTATGATATGAGAATGTCAAAGTTGATGCTTACTGTTTACATTATATTTTTATTTTACAAATCATAAAAAGTTTTCTTTAATCAAAATTGTGTTCACCTCCTATATATACTTTAACTGCTACAAATTTTTAAGTCTTGGCGACCAAAGCTATGGATTTGGCTAATACGTATAAAGGAATTTATCGTTCAGGACGTAACATTTACAAAAAAGTGTCGAATCTAAGTACAATTGTTTGGACACAAATATTATTGGCACAAATACTGCAAATGAGAATCATTACATCAAATTTAATCATAGTTATCAGTGTCAGAAAAGTAAAAAATAATGAATTCATATATAAAGCTGACAGCAAGAATCTCCTCTTCATTACACACATATATAAAAAGAAAATGCTTAAAACTCATAAATTGTGTAGTTACTTAAAGTAAAGGTTATAAAAACTAAACAATAAGGTACAAAATCCTGCTGCATTATTGAATATTGCGTCCACATACTTGTTAAGACGCCATAAATTATTTGAAATAAATTTATAAATATAATTAAAAAGCTATATCCTACTCATATATCCTACACCCACGACAAAGCTTTATCCTAAAAAGGAAACAAAAAACTAAGAAATAGAAAGAGACTGATAATATACAAAAACTTTTAAAGCAGCTAAATTTATTCACACCTCATGTTCACTCATGCGTTTTTTAAATCGTATGTTGCAAGTGAAACATGCGCGAATTAGTATTCGAAGATTTTTGCGACCCGACTTGGCGAATGTAACATTGGCGAATTTCAAAATACGGGGCCAAAGAAGTGCCCGGGAGTCGACAATGTTTAAAGTCGAGTCCTGCACTCCCCAATTTGTTAATTTGAGACCCTAGATTATTAGAATATTATACTTTCATTCACTCATAGATGACACCATCACAAAGCTGTCTAACATAAAGTATTTTCCATCTCTTACGATAAGTGAAGCAACCAGATAAACTAATTAAACCACATTCCACGGTCCATTTGATAAAACACAACTCAACCACAACCTAATTCCATTGTCCGACACCTAACGAGAACTCCAATGTCAATTTAAAATATTCTTTACTGTAAATTTTACGNGTTGATGCTTACTGTTTACATTATATTTTTATTTTACAAATCATAAAAAGTTTTCTTTAATCAAAATTGTGTTCACCTCATAAATATACTTTAACTGCTACAAATTTTTAAGTCCTGGCTACCAAAGCTGTGGAGTTGGCTAATACGTATGAAGGAATTTATCGTTTGGGACATAACATTTACAAAAAAGTGTCAAATCTATGTACGATTGTTTGGACGCAAATATTATTGGCACAAATACTGCAAATGAGAATTATTACATCAAATTTAATCATAGTTATCAGTGTCAGAAAAGTAAAAAATAATGAATTCATATATAAAGCTGACAGCAAGAATCTCCTCATCATTACACACATATATAAAAAGAAAATGCTTAAAACTCATAAACTGTGTAGTTACTTAAAGTAAATGTTTTAAAAACTAAAGAATAAGGTACAAAATTCTGCTGCATTATTGAATATTGCGTCCACATACTTGTTAAGACGCCATAAATTATTTGAAATAAATTTATAAATATAATTAAAAAGCTATATCCTACACCCACGACAAAGCTTTATCCTAAAAAGGAAACAAAAAACTAAGAAATAGAAAGAGACTGATAATATACAAAAACTTTTAAAGCAGCTAAATTTATTCACACCTCATGTTCACTCATGCGTTTTTTAAATCGTATGTTGCAAGTGAAACATGCGCGAATTAGTATTCGAAGATTTTCGCGACCCGACTTGGCGAATGTAACATTGGCGAATTTCAAAATACGGTGCCAAAGAAGTGCCCGGGAGTCGACAATGTTTAAATTCGAGTCCTGCACTCCCCAATTTGTTAATTTGAGACCCTAGATTATTCGAATATTATACTTTCATTCACTCATAGATGACAGCATCATAAAGCTGCCTAACATAAAGTATTTCCCATCTCTTGCGATAAGTGAAGCAACCAGATAAACTAATTAAACAACATTCCACGGTCCATTTGATAAAACACAACTCAACCACAACCTAATCTCATTGTCCGACACCTAACGAGAACTCCAATGTCAAGTTAAAATTTTCTTTACTGTAAATTTTACGATTAAATTGATGGACAGAATGCTGTCGGTTATTTTACCTAATTTTAGAATGAACATTCTAACAGGGCAGAGAACATTAAAAATATAAATTTGTATGCAAAATAAAAAAAAAAGAACTACATTTTCTAAACAATTTAAATATGAACAAAATTCCTCCAAAAATTTAATATTGAATAAAAGTCGCCTTAACAGTTTATAAAAAACCTAATATTTTTAATGAGTCTGAAATTTCAAACCACATAATTTGTCCTGTGTCTCTTTGTTCTGTGTGAAAATCGAAATCAATGACTATTTTTTTTATTTTTTATTCTATAGGCGTCCACTGATTTATTCGTAAGTATGATACTTAACATTTGTTTCATTTATTTGAGTAACTTATTTTTACTAGCTCACTTAAAGAATTTCTGAACAATATCGGCATATACATCTTACTCAATATTTACATATCTGAAACATTGTTGTAAATAATTTATGCTTTCACACATTTTTTTTGAACCAAAAAGAATGAAAAAAATTTGATTATTATTGAAGGAAAAAACTAGAAGAAATGAATTTTTTCTTGCAGAGCCGCGATGGCTCAGGGGATAAAACGCGCTTTCCAATGGCCGATCCCAGCGAACCGCCTTTGATCCCAGCGATGGCTGGTCGATAAGAATTCCGCATCCGGCTTGCACCAACCACAGTGATGATATAAAATATCCTCAGTGGTACAATAATCATGGGTCAGAGTTCCCTTGCTGTCAGGCTAAGAATGGGAGGATCTCGTGGTCTTCCTCTCCATGTAACGCAAATGGAGATTAGTTCCATCAAAAAAGTCCTCCACGAAGGCAAATTTCTCCTAATGCTTAATCGAAGATTTCCCTTGTCTTCTGGATAGGGTTCATAATTTCAAGGCTACGGAGTAAAACATTAGTTGTCTTGAACCCGAAAATTGGATCGGCCTTTCAACGATGGTTATAATAATATTCTTTCTTGCAGTCTATTAAAATATAATAAAATTATTATACAGTAATTGAATATTCTACACTAGTAGTCAAGTACTTTATCTACTAGAGCTGCACATTGGAGTGACGCTCTGACAAGTAACAATAAGGATGATCCTAGACATCTGAATTTTGATGCTCTGGATGGCTCTCCTGCTAGCCCTGCGAGCGAGATCGGGCACCGATAATTTGTAGAGTTTCACCCTCGGTCCTTACGCAGGCTGATCAAAGTGCTTAACCACTTTCTTACTGACCGCAACCAGTGATGGTTGACTTCGGTGTCTTTACGATCAGTCAACTGCAAGACATTGTTAAAATTCAAAATATTTCATACGTTTTCATTATTTTTTAAAAAAAGCTAAAAATAGTATAATGACTTTACTTTCGACAGTTAAACAGCAAAATATGCCGTTTTGTGTATATCTCTCAATTCAAGAGAGATTTCTAATATATAATTTAGTTCAATTATTCTTTCCTGATTAATAGAAATTCTAATTAAGGATTTTATTTAAAATATCGAATGATTAGTAGATTCTGTTGGTATTCAAATAGTGGGTTGAATTTCTAAATAACTTGTCGGTCAACTTTTTATCCTGGACAAATGTTTGTTTAAGAATATGGACACAGCTCGAAATATGTGCTTAAAAAAATGGACACAACTGGAAGTACGTGTTTAAGAGAATGAATACATCTCGAAAAACGGTTTAAAAAATGAACACAACAAAAAATGCACCTTTTACATGTTCAACACAAGTTTAATAATTTAATGAGGAATTTCGTACCTACTTTTCCTAATTTAAAATTAAAAAAAAAACTCTAAGCATTATTATTTGGGGCAAAGTTTCGGACTTTGAGAGTCCGTTTAGCTGGGTATATTGCAGATGTAACTTTTCAAGCATCTTTTCGCATTCAGTAAACTAAAAGATAAATTGGTTTTAAAAAATCTACATTCGTATAACGCCAATTTAATACCATTATTATAAATTTATAGAACCCGTGACAAGTTTCTAAAAAGAGACTTTTAATATCTTTACGAAAAATACCATTTTAAAAATGAAATGTACTGAGAGATTTGAGCGAATTCCACTTAGACTTTGAGGTTGGGCAGCTGTAAAGTGCAGGGTAAAGCCTAAATCATGATTAACAAGAAAGGCAGTTCAAGCTAAGTTGCTCTAAATGAACAGAATAGACCTTTACAAAGAGGATAGTTTAAGGAGCTCTTTTTGCCGCACACTTTGGACAGTCTCTGACCATCCGCGCCATTCATCATGCATACAACTTGAATAGTTATTTCTTTGAACAATTAAAAATAAAAGAAGACTATGGCAATTTTGAGTCCAGAATTATGAGATTCATTAATATGATGTGAATTTAATATTATACATGAATGTGAAGAATACTTTGTGAATCTTCCAACCCTTCCCTTCTATTAATTTACATGAAAGCAGATTCGATGAAATGTTCATACACCTTTTTTTAATAAAAATCCTAAATTATTTTTTAACTACCGATTATATCCAAGTTTCAGCATGATATTCTATTGCGTATGTAAAGTTTTTTAAAAATAATTTTATTAATAAACAATAATAATGGGACATCAATACTTTTGAAAGGATATCGCATATTTATATTGATTATTTTGTTTTAAGTCTAGATTATTTTGAAGAGAAATATAATTTTTTTAAAACTTACCTAATGCGTGAACGGAACCAGAGTACTGCATAATATTTAGTATCTATTATTAATCAAAAACTTGACATATCCCTAGCAGCAAAATAACCCTGCCAATATTCATGAATCTTGGCTATATAAAATTGTCGTCCCACTCACTCAATATTTTACTGCCACTTTACAACCACAACGTAGAATTGTCAGTCATTTAGCCAATATATTGGTCCCCTATATAGGCCATTCTAGAACCAACATCAAAAAATATATGCATGTTCTTATAGGATCCCTATTGAGCTACTATTGAACCTGGCGAGAGTAAAATTGTTGCTATAGTAATGTGTTTTATTTAATATAAATTAATTTCTTTTGCTTCCGCTAGCAACCAGACTATTCAATTCAAAGAAAGTGAGATAATATCTTTCCTAGTTTGAGATAGAATTGTGGAATAAAATACAGAAGGGAGTTTTCAATTAAAATTTACTCCAATATGTATTAAAGCATAAAATGTTGGGATGCTGCTCAAACATATGCCCCGTTAAAGATAATCAGTCTTAAGAGCGTCTACAAGTTAAAATTATTTATTAAGTAACAAAATTAAGGATGCAAAAATAGAAATCCTCAAAAACAGGCATCAATTCTCGCCATCAAGGGAAAAACTGCTATTCGAAGCATTTCCAAGCGAAGTGGTGGTTCAAAACTCACGTCTGGAAACCTATATGAGCTTGTTTCACTCTGCTATGCTTCTTTTGTTAATGAATTCAAAAGAACTGCATTAGATGATGTTTCATTTAAGTTAGAATTATCAGTTTTAAAAATATGGCTGTTTAGCAATAAGGAAGATAATAAAAATATCTTATTTCATGATATAGAGGAACAAATTTTTAATTCTAAGCACACGGGACACAGCTAACCATAACTCCTTAAACTCAAACATTTTTTCGTATTTTTATTAGGTCTCTTTTTACTTGTAAATTTTAAACTAATACCGTTGATTATGAATAACACAATAAAAAAATTCTATTTTTCCAAAAGATTTTCCTTGTGTATATATACATTCCCTGGCCATGTTATTAGACACACTACAGGAATTTATGTAAAATCTTAATTATCAAGTGATACTATATGGCACTCATATTTTTGCGCTGCTGAAACCGGCTTGTACTTGTTTATTTTCGTCTATCAATTGGTTAACATTGTAACACAATACATTAAAAAATCATATTTTAATGATCATAATCAATTAGTATATAAAAAATCTCCTGAATAAAAACCCATTACATATGTGTTTATTGTGTATAACAGCGTGCAAACCATGTAGTTATTAGAACACTAGACTGAGTCTAATAATTTGGTCTAATTATTATAATATACTAATATAATATCTGATATAATAATTATTCAATATTTATATCGTCTAATTTAAACAATTGTCTTCAATTTCATTCACTGAAAAAGGACTCAAGAAAAGAATCCTGAAAGAAAACAGTCTTCTAACATAGCTTTTTTAAACTACTGGACTTTTTTTTTTATTTTTATTTTTTTTAACAAAAGTTGCATGATTACAGCATTTATTAGGACCCTACAAATTATACGAACAGGTGATCTAGATAAAGGCAGAAAAAAATCTCAATTTGAAAAAAATAAATAATTTTAATTTTTTTTATTATTTTAATTTTAAATTTTCACTTATTGCGTTATAGATTTTAGCTGAGTCACTTTCATTCATTATTAAAGCTTTTAAATGAAAAATGAAGTTTGTCCAAAACTGAACAAATTCTAGTTCGTAATATTTGGTTGTTAAAGGATGCAACTCTAAAAGTATTCTTGGATTTGAAGAAAAATCCAAAATTGCATGAAAAAAAAACAGTAAAGAAAAGTTTATCTTTTAAATGAAGACATCCAAAAATGCAGTTAATCGTTGAATATGTGGACAATTGCAAAACATATATTTTTCCGCATATTTGTAAAATTTTTAGGGCCTTAATAATTATTTATAAATTTATTTTTAATTTATTTTCTCAATATAATTTGCTTTTAAACAATCATTGTTTTAAGTCGTTAGAAAGAGTAAAATGCTTTAGAATATAAAAATTATTTTATATTGAAATAATGAATTATACGTTATTCAAATACATCAACAAATACATCAAAATGATTTCTACTATTCTTAATCTTTAGTTTTGATTTCTATTATAATTCAAATTAGTATGTTTCAATCTTACCTATGTTTCAATCATTCTCAATCTTTACTTTCGTGCATGATTTTGAACTTTTTAGTAAAAAATATTTTAATTAAGAAAAGTTTTTAGCTTTTTTTTGTTTTTGTGATTTACTTTTGGTTTGAAATAATGAATTATGCCTTGTTCAATGCAAACAGCAAATATATCAAAATGACTTCTACTATTTTCAGTCTTTACTTTTGATTTCTGCTTTAATTAAAATTAGTATGTATTTTACTTGTGTGCGTGATTTTGAACTTTTAGCAACAAATATTTTAATAAAAAAAGGTTTTTATATTTTTGTTGTTTTTGTGATTTACTTTTTGTTTGAAGTCTTTCAGGTTTCAGGAGCATGTAAGTTCTTTTATTATACTAAAAATTATTATATTAAAGATGTTTCTCATGTTACTAAATTAGTACAATTTAAATAAATGATACTGTTTTTAAACCGCTCTTTTATGCAAAAGAGCTTCTTTGTTTTCATATCATTTTACTCATGTCTTTGATTACAAAATGTTCGAATGCTTTATAACACTAATTTGTTTTGGAATTATTTATTGTTATTTTCTCTCAATTTCAGGCAATCTAATTTGAGGTAATTTTTTCTCATTATTATTTCTTATATTTACATGATATGTATAGATATTTAGTCATATTTTGCATAAATTGTCCGAAATTAGAACAAGCGAAAAAGTGAACTTATCAATTATTTAAATTATTAATAAGAAAGATTTATTCGATAGATAAGCATTGCTGTAATTTTTTGGGTACTCACATTAAAATAATAAAATCAGAGGGTTAATTTTAAGTATGCCAGAAATGTTGCTCGAAAAAGGATACTTTTAAAAATCAGGTTCAATGCGTGAATTATTTAATAAAAAATAACTTAAACAGTTTTTTTAAATCTCTTTTCGAGGATATTCTATTGACTATGAAAAGTATTCTACGAGGGGAAAAATAAGATATTTTAAGGATAAAGGTGGGATCAATTCAGTCGTTAATTCTGAATTCAATTGATATTTATGTTAGATACACTCTGTCAAAAATTCCGGATCAAATCACGGTAAAAAGTACCGCCACTCAGGGTGACGGTACTTTTAACCGTAAGATCCTTTTTTGCCGTAAAATTTCCCTGTGAACACTTCGACATTGGCCCTATTCAACTTCTAATTGAAGGAACATGAATTGGTTACAAATACAACACATTTTACGTTATTCATTTTCTAAATTAGACTAATTTAGTCGAATGATATATCTTTAGAAATGGTGTTTTTAATCACGAGTAAAGCTTTATAATTCTTCACTTTTTATAGGCTCTGTTAAGAAAATTTAAAGGAGACAAGCTTGTTAAAAAATATAATTCAATATAAATAAATTAAAGAGGAAAACAAAGTTTTAAATATTTTTACTTTTTCAAATATTTACCTAATACAGAAGAACGACATTGTGCTAATCAATTAAATAAAAAAGCAATATCATGCCATGATAGAGTGGAAGTTTTTTATTGATATTATGATGTTCAATTCATAAGAAATAAGATTCAGGGGAAAAATACATTTCTCAAATCTCACAAAAAGACGTTCAACACCAATAACTGGTAGAAATTACCAGGGCTACAGCTTAGTACACACGAGTTAAATTTTCTAATAAAATAAAAAACAATTCGCAAAAAATGTTCAAATGAATCAAATTGAATGATGGTTTTCAAATGTATTGATTTACGTTCAAAATATCTTTCTTAATATAGAGAGAGTACAAATTATTAATTTTAATTAAAATATGCCAATATTTATTCTCCAAAAAGGCTTAGATTAAAATTAATTTCATTTTTTCCTCAGATATACCTTTGTAACTCATAATAAATGACTATTTAATAATTTATTAAGTTTCTCCAAGTTAACCACATTGCTTGTCCACGTTAGCCCCCAGTAAAGGGGTAAAAAACCCCTCCCTTTTTTTTAAGAAAACTATTATGCAAAAATTACACAACTTTGTACACTGGTGTAAGAAATTCAGAGAATTTGCGGACGATTATCTCTAGAACTACAGGACCGATTTCAATGATATTTGATATGTACAAGCATTGATACAATACAAAACAAATAACCATTCAACAATTGTAATACACACGCATGATCATGTGTAACACTCGTTGGAGTCGGAAGGTATGAAACAGTGGTTGTAGAATAAACAAAACAAAAAATGGGTTAATAAGGAGTATGGTCCCCTCTTACAGATATACAGGCCTTGCAGCGTGATTCCATACTTGAAATAAAGCTGTTAATAATTTCCAATGTCAATTTTCCTGAATTGTCCTGTGGTATACCTTCCGACTCCAACGAGTGTTACGCATGATCATGCAAGTGTGTATTACAATTGTTGTATATTTATTTCTTTTATATTGTATCAATGTAAGTACTCATCAAATTTCTTTAAAATCTGTCGAGTAGTTCCAGAGATAATCGATTAAGTTTGCAATTCTCTTAATTTCCTACACCAGTGTAGTTCTTGCTATAAATCAAAATGCAAGTAAACGATCAAATTATTGTTAAAGAAATTTACTCAATCAGTTAAAAATTATATTAAATATGGTTTTTTGATAAATTAGTAAAAAATGTCTACACCTGCCCTATCGCCCTTACTAAAATATCAATAGGTATCTGTAAGTAATAATGGAGGTTCCAATTATTGCAATCTTTCTCTACATTTTTTATCGGCGTTACTCTAATTAAAGGCTATAATTTTAAATAACTGTTATTTTATGCTGCTGTTAAAAGATTGCATTTTTTATAACACATTATTTACTATATATAAATCAATAAGAGTTTTATTTTAAAGAAAATGAAAAGTTTGATATTTACACAAAATTATTATTATTTTTTTTTGTCAGTAAACATCTTTGTTCTAATAAAAAGCAATGTTTTTAAATGTTTGTTATTTTAAGCTGATGTTGAAAGGAACATTTTATCAAATTTTTATTACATGTTTATCAATAAAAGTCTTTTTTTTCATTATAGGCGACCAAAAAAGAGGTAATATTTTTTTAACTTATAAAATGTGGCACGTTTTGTCCTTGTCGTGGCTGAAAGTGTATTTTTCGTTTTACACAAAAATAATTATATGTTGAGTGATAAATTCGTACTTTAAATTTTTACTTAATTATTTATCATTTTTGAGTTTATCATGAGATTATGGGCATTCTTTTCATAATTTAAATAAAAATATAATATTGTATATCATTATCATATATGGCAACGTTACTTTTAAAAAGTAACGAGTAAAAGTACAAGTATTTTTCAAAAAAGTAACGAGTAAAAAGTAAAAAGTTCTTATTTTAAAAAGTAACGAGTAAAAAGTACAAGTAAAAGTACAAGTACTAAACAAAAAAAGCAACGATTTAAAAGTACATTTCTAGGCAATCGAAAATTCAAAGTTACCTAAAATTTCATTGAATAATATTCTTATGTTCTTTCATGTTTTTGCAAAATTGTTGTTATTTATTTAATTATTTTAAATTTTGAAAGTTATGGACATTAATTTATTTTTAAATTCGGAAGAATATTATAATATAATTTTATAATATAATCGTATAATATAATTTTAAAATCAAATATAATTTTAATATCAAACTTTTTATGGATTTGCACGAAAAAGAAATTTTATCTATTGATTTTAATTTTTAGTTTATTATTTTTATTTATTTAAATTACCATTGATTTAAAATTGTTTTACTCTATAGAAACACGTTTTAAAAGCACAAACATAGCAAACACAGATAGCTTTGTGATCTTTGAGCTAGTAAAAACTAATTGAATGTGCAGTATAAGTTGAAACAGAACAGTCTACAGTTTTATTAGTAACAATGGCTAATGCTGAAGTCAAACGAGAAAATCATTTCCCGAACATTTCTGCCTAACGGAATAATTAAAATTTGTAAACGAATTATAGTATCATCGGCTAAATTAATACCTTCGAGTTTTCAAGAGTTAAAATAGTAATTATAAAAGGTTTTAAGTACCACAAATAGTTTTGAAGTTCGCAGAGATTTGACTGGGCGTTGTTTGACAAGGTCGGGCATAAGCATAATTTTAGTAAAAAATGTACTAGGTAAAAGTGTATTTAGTAAAAAATTTATTAAGACAAAAATGTATTATTAGTGAGTTCAAAAAGAAAATTGAAAAACGTAATGACAAAATCCAACATTTTTTATTTAAAATGTATTAAATAAATGCATAAAACTCGAAAATAACTTGCTAATTAATATTTTTATTCATTTTGCAAAATAATTGCATTTCGAAAGTGGTGTCACTGAGTCTGCTGAGAGAATTTCTCAGAACGTGCTTAGCCACGCTGAATAAGTGCTCCACGGGAGCACTAGAAGGTACTGCAATATTATATTTCATATACAATTTTTTTACGATTGGATATCGATTCAAAATTGATTTGCTTTTCGTTTCGAATTTTGAGCTCATGTATACCATAAATTCTTCTGTCGCTGGTGATTGACATGATGTTTTCAGCTTTAGAAAATCTAAAATCCCTGGGGTTTTTTTTCTGTTACGTTATTAGTTATAGCAGGGTGTTCAGCTTGGACAATTTTTTGGTAGCCTCCTCCCTATCTTTTTCTTCCAACCAATTAAATTTGATGCAAGGTACCAGACCAACAGCAAACTCTTTTTAATTTAATTTTTTTTTTAAAAGCTTACCGAGTTTTAGAAAAAAGTAACGATTTCATTGGACATTTCCGTTACAAATACTTTTACTTTTTCCCCAAAAAAGTAACGAAAGTACAAGTAAAAGTACTAAATTTAAAAAGTAACGAAGTACAAGTAAAAGTACGTACTTTTTACTTGTACCGGCGGTACAAGTAACGAAAGTAAAAGTACTGCCATATATGATCATTATAAGACATGATAGTGTATAAAATTTTAAAATGTGGCTCGTTTTGTCCTTGTCATGGCTGAAAGTGTATTTTTCGTTTTACCTATAAATAATTAAATGTAGAGTGATAGATTTTTACTTAATTATTTATCGTTTATCATGACATTAATACCTGTTTTCTGTTTATAATTCAACTAAAAACTTTATATTGTATATCATAATAAGACACGAGAGTGTATAACATTTTTTTAACAAACATATCTTAATTAAAAATTTGCTTGCTTACATAAATTAGTTGGGTTTAACATAATCCAATATCCAAAATTTTTAATAATTACTCTAATAAGGCATAAGTTTTAGAGTAACTTGAGAAATACTTTTTTTAATTCTTGAGATCTCTAAGAGTTACAAAAGTTTACATGTTTATACGCTCCAAAATAGTAAAAAAAAACTTTACTTAATTCATCTACGTTATATTAATTTGTAAAGAGTTAATACTACACATAATTCGTCCAATATGTTTATTTGTTAGGAATTTACTATACTTAATTCGCCGATACGTTATGTTTATTTGTTAACAGTTAAGATAATGGGGTAGAAACTTTTTATGGCACTTCGGTACATTGGTTTTATGGCACATTGGTAATTTCCAAAAAGAAAAACTGTATTCATGCAAACCCAAAATAAAAGTTCAAATGTTTTCAAAATTAAAACAAGTTATAGCAAAAGCTCCATTTTGCAGCTTGACCTAATTTTATATTTTGAAACTTAATGTTCGTTCTAGGTTTACCTGTAGTCATTTTTTTTTATCTACTTCAAATTTTAAATTACCAATAGAGAATTTTTATAAAAATGATTCTCCTGAGGTTTATTATGTTATTGTATAAAGCAGTTGTATTTGCTGAATAATAATTAATTAATGAAAAATTAAGACATTTCTTTCGACATAAAACTACATTATTAACCATATGCTTGATTTGTCATTAAAATAATAATATGATTTATAAAAGAATAAAATGGTGCAGACATGAATCGAAACAATTCCTTAAATAAAATAAAAATACTGTTGCATTAAGTAAATGCCAAAAAAGTATTCAAAATCGCAAATTAATATTTAAACGAGAAAAAGTCGAAAATGCTATGGAAAATTAAAAAAATCGCAAATGAGAAAAAAAAAGCTCAAACTAGCAAAATCTAAAAGCGAAGATTTGGAAAAAGATAATTCGGTACACGAACCTCCATTTGCAAGCAAACAAGTTTTCTGTGTTTTTCATACTGTCTCTAAAACACTAGAAACTTGGCAGAGTTTTGTCCTCAATTAAATATTATTTTGCCACTTTTACTTACTTTTTAATTCAAAAATTATGTATAAAGGATTATGGAATAATCTGAATTATCAAAGAATATAAAAATAATTAGAAATTAGTTTCATAATAGCAATATCTTATATATGCTCCCTGTTGGAACCTTATTTTATATTTATTTAAGATTTATACAAAATTTCTTTGCCATTTTAGAGAGGACCCACCGAAGCCAGAAATTTCTGAAGCTGAATTGGCTATGGAGGTTTTTATTTAATTTTTACTATTAATTTAATTTTTATTATAGCTCGTTCACCAGGAGTTGGCTCCGTCTTCACGTGGTATGCGAGGATACTATTTCGCTATTTTTGGGAGAAGGCTGTGAGCAATCCTGAGTAAGGTTGCTATTTTGCCAGAATATTTTTTTCACAAACTTTATCTTCAACATTAAATACTTCATAAATTTGATGATATTTCTCTCTTTTGAGTGAATAGTTTGTCATTTTTTAGATATTTTGCTGGGAAAAAAGCAGTTTTTAAACTTAGAATATATTTAATTAGCTAGACGAAAGGTATAACAGCAGATAATAAAGCGAAATTAGTGACTGAAAAAGAAGTCACTGTTTGTGTTTGGCACACATTAAGGGTTGTCTCAATTTCAAGCTCGGAGATGTTTCTCTTCTTACTCCCACACTGAAGTGAACTCTGCGTTCGAGGGGGGGAGGAGCCAAGTGCCTACTCCTGGTGAGTGAACTATACTACAGTGATGCCTGTTAAACGGACAATATCTGTAAGTCCTGTCTAAACTGATCTAATTGATCAAATATAATTTGTCTACTGTAAGAACTCCCCCCGCCACTAAGTCTGAAGCAGTCTGCTGCTATGGAAACAAGAATAGTTCATTTCAGGAGAAGGGTAGCTTCTCTTCATTCCAGGGCTAACACAGTAGACCGAAGAAAAGGATTCCCTTTCTCTATCCGAACCATGCCAAAACCTGTTCCAAACGATAACCCCTACTTGAAATAGTTATACCTCGTTACCATAGTCACCGATCCAGACAAATGGCTAGGGGAGTTCTTACTTTAGACAAACGATACCAAACTGACAAAAGCAATTATATTTCCATTTTTAAGTTTACTACTGTCAAAGTGGACAATATAATTGTTGTCCTAAACACAGGTTTCACTGTACTATTTATTTAAGGAAGTTTGATATACACAAATTTACACACATTATATGAATTTTTAAATCAATCAGCCTGTTTTTCAGTTTATTAACTTGAAGAACTTAATATTTAATATATATATTAAATAATATTAAATTTTAATAGGAAAATATTTTATGTATATATATATTAGAACTTAATTAAAAAATAAGCACACTTAATTAAAAAAAATTGCTCAAATTTACACACATTATATGAATTTTTAAGTCAGTCAGCCTGTTTTTAAGTTTATTTACTTGAAGAACTTAATATTTAATATACGTATTAAATTAGATAAAATTTTAATAAGAAAATATTTTATGCATATATATTAGAACTTAATAAAAAAATAAGCATAGTTGATTAAAAAAATTGCACAAATTTACACACATTATATGAATTTTTAAATCAGTCAGCCTGTTTTTCAGTTTATTAACTTGAAGAACTTAATATTTAATATTATGAACAATCATTGTAAATGTTTAATCAGGGGTCTGTCCAGACATTTTGTGAAAAGTCCGTTTTTGTAAAATTGTGAAAAAATTGCTCGTAATTTGTGAATATAAAGTAAGCGTTAAATCACACTCTTTCAACCAGGGTACTGCTTTTATGAATTTGTGCCAATAGGGTCCTTATTGCAAAAAGTTTTTCAAGGCGTTTTTAAATTGTAAATAGCTGTAAGATTATGCTCAACACTGTGAAACTATAATTTAAAAAAAATTTCAAAAATAAAAAGCAATTGCTGTTTCTAAATTAGAGGTGCAACATACAAATAAATATTTGGTATTCAGCCTATACTATTGAATGCACAATATTCATTTCGGACGAAAATAGGAAGAAGCGTCTGCCGAAGACAAAACTTAATTCGTTTACATCTATCCTTATTTTTTTCCCCTTGGGGAGGGTTTAGTCGATTAACAAAACAATAACGAAGATAAACAAATTTCTGAAGGGTCCGATTAAAAGAAAAATCATTTTGCGAAGGGTCCGTTTTTAAGTTAAAATATTTTGTGAAGTGTCCGTCAACGGACCCAAATTTCTTCTAAACTGACCCCTGCTAATACATAATATTTTCCAATATATAGATTAGAAAATATTTTATGTATATATATTAGAACTTAATAAAAAAATACATGGAAACAATGTACTTTTGGTCCGGTATTTTGTATTAAATTGCATTTTCTTCACAATTTTATTTTAAAAAATTTAATTAAAATTGTTTTTAATAAATTGCATGAAACTAAAATTGCATAAAAAGACTTTTACAATTACATTTTTAATTTTCTATATCATATTTTCTTATTATATTTTTAAAATTTACATGTCTTTTTATATTTTTATAGGCATTCTTAAAGAGGGTAATATTTTTTGAATATTTAATATGTGTCATATGTTTCGTAGCATGGCTATAAAATTGCCTTGTTCGTAAATTCGTGATATTGTGAATTAAGTTGTTTCGTTGCGAATTCGTGATGCTTTATTTGTTTTGTTTTTTTAACAAAATGCATTGCTTTCTTATTATTTATATAAAAATGTGTGTTTAACTATAAATTTTAACTTGAAACACGACATATCCCTTCATACGAGCAGTCATTAGAAGATAGTTATCTGTTAGCATTTGTAGGCATTAGAAATAGTGTCATCTGTATTCATGCCAAATTTTTAGAAATTACTATAAAATTTTACATATGAAAGCAACCAGAATGTCAATCCTCAGTTGCGCTGATAATTTTTTTAGGTTCTGAAATCAAATATAAATTTATTTCGTCTATTTCGAAGTAATTATTAAGTTATGAAAAAAACTACAATTTTTGAATACGTCGCCAAGTCCAATTCAATCCGCAGATGAAGAGCACTATTGGCTGTACTTTAATTAAAAACTTTTCTCCTCTTATATTTACGCTTTAAAAGGCTTGATTTAAAAGATTAAATTATATAATTAGGATTAAAATTCTTTCAGTTTTTGTATAATTCTGCACTTTTTTTAATAACAATATTTTAGCTAAGTTAGAACTATAGCGAAAATCGTTTGTGATTAATATTTCGAAGGGATCATAAACGTGATTTTTCCAACGGTATTGTTCATCGCAAATTTGGAGGGATTCCATCTATTCTTTAGAATTTTTTTGTTCATTTTTAATAATTTAAATTTCACCAACTTGCGAAATAGACAAAATATTTTATATACATTGTTTCACAACCGAAAAAGTAATTTTATTAAAATTTAAAATTTCATCTTTATGTGCTTCGATTACATAAATATTCAACACTGAATTTCTAAAGCTTTTTATTTCGTTAAATGTAATGATAACCTTAATATGAGCGAATTAATTTGCAATTAATGGATACTTTTATTGTTTCTTATTAGTAAGGTGTAAATCCTACATTCATAATGAGTGATTTAATTCTACTCTTCCAAAACTTTTGAACAGTTTCGACGAATAAGTGAGATACCCTCTTAAATAGATTTTGTTCAAATTTTTACTTACTAAGTAAAAATCTTCGAAGAATTGATTACAGATATGCTAATTAATTCTCGTTTTAGAAACAGAAATTTTGACATAAAAACGTTTTTGTGTTTTTCACATTATCTTTTCAACTAGTTATAAACCTTTTGGCTTCAGTTATAGAACTCGTTAAGCAGAAATAGTTCGGTGTAAAGAATAGTTTTTATCTATTATCTTTTATTATTCAGATTAATAAGCGTAGAAAAGTGTTTGTGTTGTTTTGTATAATTATTTTTACATGGTTTAAAATGATACAAATGATTTACATGATTCGAAATGTGATTAAAATCTGTTGAATAGACAATAATAAAATTAAATCGATTGAATAATAAAATAAATATTTAAAAATATGAATTTTTGATATTTTTTCCTCTCAAATTCTTTGACCAATTCCGCTCAAATTTATTATATAAAATTAAATAATTTGAATTTATGTTAATACACTGGTGAAAACAATTGAAGGGGAAAATGTTTTTTTCCCTTTGCAATAAAAAAAACTAGCAAAGTAAATAAAACTAATCCAAAATATAATCCAATAAAAGACTAATATATTCCTTTTTACTAAAATTTCACTTAGCGTTCTTTTTCATTAACAGAACATCCATTGGACAAGGAAAATATCTTCTCATAAAAAAAGGAGACAAAATCGATGTTAATATCTAGGTGTAATTAATGTAAAAGAATGGCCTAAAAAGTTTCAACATCTTTTCAAACATTAATTATAAAAAGTGTAATATTATGAGCTCTTTTTTTTAATATGACCGCTTCGTTCTCTAACTCATAATTAATTTTGAAACAGAAAATGCGTAAGAAGAAAGAAGAAGAAGAAGCCATGTGGGCAGAATATATAGAACAAAGAAAAATTCAAAAACAAAAAGAAGAAGAAGAACTAAAGAAATTAAAAGAAAGACAAGTATGTTTTTTTCACAATCTACAAATAATTAAATTTTCATGAGAATTATACTTTGAGTAAAAAAAAGTATTATTCTTTTTGGAATTCATGCGAAGTTATTATAATTTCGCAAAGAGGGTTAATCATTATATATTTATTTATATAATTTTTGACTGCACAAGTTTGTATACTTTTGGTTTTAATGTTTGCTGCACGGAGAAACAAAATTCTGCTGTATATATATGCTGTCACTATATGCTGTTGACATTCCCGGTAAAAAAAATATATAAAAGAGGATAGTTTTC